GAGCGTTCATGTAAATGATGTCATTGTAGTCAGTGGAGGTAAGGAAGGTCACATGTTTCCTTCAGAGTTAGACAGGATCTATTTGTGAAATAGAAACCCGGATTAACTTTCAATTTCTTTACCAAGTTTTCAACATGAGGCTTAAAGAGAGATGTGAATCAACCAAGATACTCAAGTATTTGCAAGAGTCGATAAACTCAATAGGAGCACCATTCGTAGATAAGATAGAAGGATGCTGGGACCGACTTCCTGTTTGAAAACAACACCCCTTTGATTTTTATCAGCTTTTAGCACCAGTTTGAGATGGAACAGGTATGACTGGATTATGTTAAAAGCTGGAAAATCTTAGCATCTGTTTTAGCTCGACAAGAAACAACTTATGTAGATTGTGAAGAGGGTGGGTCCTAAGACTGAGCCTTGTGGTACATCGTTGTTGGCAGATAACCGGAAGAAGTACCATTATGTTGAACACATTGTCTCAGACCTGAGAGAGGGTTAGAGAACCAGCCAATGAATGGGTGAAATTTGACATTTTTACGCTTGTTTCTAGTAAATTTCTTGCTCTAACAGATCACATCCATGTTTCTGTCTCCAGTCATGCAGAAAGGGGGGAATTGGAAATACCCTCCTTCCATCTGTCTGTAATGTAAATGTCTTGTAAATGAGTCTCCGAGGCTCAATGTGACTAATCTGTATAAATAAAGGTTGAATGAAAAAAAAAAAAAAGAGATATTTATTTCCATTTTGGTGTTGCTATATCTAGGTGTAAGAAAGGTTCCTTTCAAAAATTGGGTTCCCACGTCAAAATCCCAAATGGATGCTGCCGTGTGTATGTAAACCCTGCGGCTTGGAAAACTTGAGGAATTAGTATCATGCTGACTTCTATGTTGTTGTATTTCTACATCTAGGAGTAAGAAAGGTCACCAATGATATCTGGGTTACCGCTTCAAAATCCAAGATGGCCACCGTCATATGAATGTAAACTGGTCACCCATATCATTTGAGGACACTTTGCTTTCCAGTACGTATAGTTTCCTCAAATAATTTGGGTGGCCAGTGAGGTACGGGTGCAACGTCCAGTCAAAAATATTTTGTTCTTGTAAATCAAACTGTGTAAGTTCCTTAACTTGTGTGTGAGTTTCACCTTCAAGAACAAATTATGACACCATGTTTATTCCTCTCAGCTGATTGGTCAGTGTCATGTCAATCACAAATTTAACAATCAAATTGGTGAACAGGGGTTTTGTGGTCGGGATGACACTTTAGTGATCTGCAGGTCTGATACACGTTGAAGATGGAGGACGGCACCAGTGCTACCAAACATGATTTTCAAAAATATAGATATTTTTTTTATAAGAGGAAGAAACCTCCAGCAGAACCAGGCTCAGGACGAGCAGCCGTCTGCTTCGACTGGCTGGGATTTGAGGGGACAGGAAGTAGAAACAGACAAACACAGAATGACAGGTCCAGGTGAACTTTCTATAGGAGGAAAGACAAAAAAACATGTTAAGATAGAAATAATTAGAAATACAAACAGGTAACAAGTAAAGACAGCAGCAGAGAGAGGGCATGTGGTCAGTTTGTCCAGCAGTCTAAGCTTATAGCAGCATAACTAAGGGATAGGTCAAGAAACCCAGGCAAACCTTAACTATAGGATTTATCAACAAAGGAAAGTCTTCAAACTGGACAGTGTGTCAGCCTCACGGACAGAAACTGGAAGTTGGTTCCACAAGAGAGGAGCCTGAGAACTGAAAGATCTTCCTCCCATTCTGCTTTTGGAAACTCTAGGAACCACAAGTAAACCCGCAGCCTGAGAACGAAGTGCTCTGTTAGGAAAACATGGAACAATAAGATCAGTAATATAAGATGGAGCTAGGTTGTTGAGAGCTTTGTAGGTTAGAAGTAAGATTTTGAATTCTATTCTGGATTTGACAGGGAGCCAATGGAGAGAAGCTAAAACTGGAGACATGATCTCTCCCAGTAACTCCAGTTAAGACTCTGGCAGCAGCATTTTGGATCAGCTGAAGACGTTTTAAAGAAATATTTGGACACCCAGATAATAAACCATTGCAATAGTCCAGTCTAGACGTGACAAATGCATGGACCAGTTTTTCTGCATCACTTTTAGATGTTTTAATGTTAGTGATATTACGCAGGTGGAAGAAGGAGGTTCTAGTAACGTTTTTAATGTGGGGGATAAAAGACACGTCCTGATCAAAAGTAACACCAAGATTTTCAACATTAGAGCTGGAGGACAGATTGATGTCATCCAAGGAGGGAGAAAGACTGAAAAATGTATTCCTAAGATGCTCAGGTCCAAAAACTAACTAACTAACTAACTTCAGGTTAACGAGTTTGTTGAAGTATTAAAGAAAAACGGATCAAACGAGCGTTTTAATAAAGGTCCACGTTGATAGACAGACCAGCTGCAGCTTCAGAGGCAGTGAATAAAGTCCAGCTTTTATTTATGGTTCCAGCTAAAGGACCACGGATCGACTTCTTCTACTGGGTCTGAGAAAAAACACTTTTTAATTTTTACACTCGACGCTCAGAGTCCTGCTGCGTGGAAAATCAACGGGATCGAGAGATAATGCAGCTGTCAGATCATCCAGATGCTTTGCAGACACGCTGATCCCATCACACACACACACACACACACACACACACACACACACACACACACACACACACACACACACACACACACACACACACACACACACACTCACACACACACACACACACACACACACACACACACACACACCATCGTGTTATCCTGTCATCACATTTCTTGTTGAAGCTTCTTTTCATCTGTAAATTTCAGTAAAATTTGGTAAATTCATTATAAAATATTGATTAAATTTATTTTAAAGGTGATTTTTTACTGCACACAGATTTCACTGAGCTAAAAAAAGGATAATGAAATATAGAAGTTTGCTCAAACGTTAATTTTTTAAAGTTTTTCCCAACAAAATCTGAACGTTGGGTTCATTTTTCATGGACTGATCTGGAGTCTGCACCCTTTTCTGGTTTTTGTTTGAAATATTAGAGAAGAGCACCCCAGTTTTAATCGTCTCGCCCAAACCGGGTCCGAGGCCAGAACCGAGGAGCTCTCAGCAAACTGTGACAACTGGGTTTGATCCTTGCTGGGTTTGTGTTGTGTGCTCGTGATCGCTCGGCCCACGGCGAACGCTTCACATGATCTGTTCGCAAATTTGTCTTCAGTTCTCGGCCATCTGTAAAAAGACAAAGAATGTTTCCGTCCGCTCGCCTCGCTTCGACAGAATCCATCCTCAGGAGGTCACGATATCTGATTTCAGCTGCTCTGCAGCTAAAAACACCTCGTTTATAACAATCAAACTCATATCTTTGAAAAAATAAACTAAAATGTGAGGAAAACCTGTTAATTTGCTCTAATGTTTCTGTCACATCTTCAATTATAAGATATATTTTTAAACAGAATGAGACGTTTGTGCTTAAAATATAATTTGTTTTTTGGCTTTAAAGGATTTTAACACTTTAAATTAGGAGTTTTAAACTCGGAACACGTGGAAATAATTCATATTTATAGTTAAAGGTTCTCAATTTAGGAGTTTTCAGTTGAGTTTTATAAAAGTTCAGGTTTCTTTATTGTCATTTACATCACATGTGGTACATGAGGTGGAACAGAATTGTGTAGTTACACCCAAAAATATAAAGTATAAAAAGAAACAGAAGGATCTAACGCTAAACAATGATAATGTAATATAATAAGGTGTATTAAAGCCAAACTTTGTGGTTAAAACTTCTTTAACAAAACTAAATTAATTTAAAAGCTGTGCTAACAGTTTGTTAGCACGTTAGCTTTAGCCACATCCAGTCAAGCATTTGAAACTCTGATGTTAAGAAGAAAAAAGTGCCCACTTCTCCCAGATTATCAGTCTGAAGAATTAATTTAGGTTTTTGTTTGAATCTTAGAATTATTTTATGTTGAATCTAAAGCTTTTAGTCCCGTTGAACCAGTGAAGCAGGTGTAATGAATGTCTGTTCTTCTGAATGAAGATTGTCCCAAGCTGCTTGCCTTACTTACTCTGAACTCCAAATAAAGTGAATGAATTCAGTCAAAACTTTCATTTCCTGCAGCTGAAGCTCTGAAGGAAACAAACTCTTCACACTTTGATCAGGAGGTGACATTTATTCAACTGTTTTTATCTGGTTTTACAAAAGTTTGGTTATTTTATTTGTCCTTATATAAAAAAAAATCAATAATTTATTCAAGTTTTTCACTTTATAATGTAGAAAACTGGAGTCGTTTCATTTGTAGCATTTTTTTAAATCTAATTTCTTTACTTCAACTTTATTTTTTTGGGGAAAAAAACGAGTTTTGAAGGTAAAAGTTGCAGATTTCTGCTCTGACAAACAAACAAACAAACAAACAAACAAACAAACAAACAAACGTCAGACTGAACCACTCAGATTGTTGAATGTGAATTATTATTAATTATTTAACGTTTCATTTGTGATTCACTTCAGTCACATATAAAGGACCCCCCCCCATTATCACCATTATTATCCACTGGCGCCCCCTAAATGAACCTGAGCTCAGTGCAGACACGAGCCCAACAGAACCGGTCCAGTCTGAGCTCAGGAAGGCGGAAGTATAATAATAATAATAATAATAATAATAATAATAATAAAAGTACTAATTTAATTCCCCCCCGCTGGTTAAATGTCACATTTCTTCCATCCAACCAGCTCTGCTGATTTGAATGACAATAATTGGGGGGGGGGGGGGGGGGGTCGGCCAGTGAGGAGTTAAAGGGAGGAGGCGCGTGACACGCCTCGTTGGGTAGATTATGTGGCGCAAACAAAAAGTGCGTGTCTGTGTGTCAGTCAGCCAGAGCTCCGGGCCCCCCCAGTCCGAACCCGTCCGTCGCTCCGAGCCGGGAGGAGACATGTTCTGATACGGAGCGGAGCAGCATCAGCACCTCCTCCTGCTCCTCCTGCTCCTCCTGCAGCTGCGGATTCTGCCACTTTTCTCCTCCTTTTCTCGTGTCTGTGGATTATTTGTCCTCGCGCGGCTCAGAGGTAGGTCCGTGGGGTGGGGGGGCTCCTTCAGCTGATTTAGGGCACTTTGTTTGTGGTCCTGCTCGGACAGATGGGTCGGAACCAGTCCTCCCAGCAGAACGCGAGGCGGCTCTGGACTTTCTCGGTTTGGAGCTGCGCGTGAGAGAAAAGCAGGCGGAATAAATTGAAAAAGATTTTTAATCTAAAATGAAAAAACCCCAAACTGGGGAAACAGCTGCTTTAGTTGCGCGTGCGCGCGTACAGCAGATGGAGGCTGTTTAGAAAAGTGCAAAAAAAAAAATTCAATTTATTCTAATTATGAAGGAAAAAACGTTATTATTATTATTATTATTATTATTATTATTATTATTATAGTTTTATTTACTTTAGAAGCTGCTTTATTTGGTTCATTTAATTTAAAGAAAATTAAATTAAAGTTTGGCTAAAAAGCTGCATAAAATATTTAAATTTATATTTAGAGTCAAATATTTATGGAAGTAAGAATTAAAGATATATTTAAAAAATAGATTTGATGTGAGGGTTATTTTTGTGTCTCCTTTTCTTTGGCGCATCATCTGCGGCTCTCTTTAGCTGCTCTTTAGCTGCTCTTTAGCTGCTCTCTGTGCGCCTCTTTAGCTGCTCTTTAGCTGCTCTTTAGCTGCTCTCTGTGCGCCTCTTTAGCTGCTCTTTAGCTGCTCTCTGTGCGCCTCTTTAGCTGCTCTCTGTGCGCCTCTTTAGCTGCTCTCTGTGCGCCTCTTTAGCTGCTCTTTAGCTGCGGAGAGCCTCCTAAACACGCACTCACAGGTCAGACAGGGAGAAGTGAGATCATTCACCGCTTTAATGATCTGACGTGCGTGATGCTAAAGAGGAGACGAACGGTGCGCGCCGCGTGCACGGAGGATGGACAGGCTGGTCCTGTTGGACTGCAGCTCTGAAATAAAAGAAAATAAAAGATTTTTGACCCGATTTTATTTTGAAACATCATTTAACTGAAGCGTTCTTTGGGAAAATTACAAATATGTTTTTCATTTTCAGAGCCAATAATAATAATATAATAACAATAATAATAATGATAATAATAATAATAGTAATGATGATAATAATGATTATGATGATAATAATAATAATAGAACAAATGTGTCAGATAAATTAAACAGGCTAATATTAATATTATTATTAATAACACACGAGCTGTTAGAAATAACAGTGAGGAGAACGTCTCAATTTATTTTTAAAAACAAACAAATCATTTCTCAAGTTTTAATTCTGAAAATAAAAGTTGTTATTTTAAAACATTATTCTGACAAATAAGATGTAGTCATTAGAAATAATAGGTAATAAAAAGTGAAAGCTGCTGCTGATTTGATTGTTTGAGTAAAGATGGCGGCTGCGCCGGCTCGTGCACATCAGGGGGTTCTAGCAGATGTTCTGTCTCCGCAGGACGACATGGACGAGTCCAGCTCGCACAAGTTGGCGTGGGACGGGGACGCCAAGGCCGTCCAGCAGTGTCTCACCGACATCTTCACGAGCGTCTACACCACGTGCGACATCCCGGAGAACGCCATCTTCGGGCCGTGCGTGCTGAGCCACACGTCGCTGTACGACAGCATCGCCTTCGTCGCGCTCAAGGCCACCGACAAGCGGACTGCTCCCTACATCTTCCGGGTCAGAACCGGCTGCACACATCTTACATTTTCCACACCGAGCGCAGCTGAAGGGTTTGTCTCGAACTGTAAAATAAAACTCGCGTTCATCGGCGCAGCTTCTCAAGATTTACCTCTGAGGCGAAGCTGTGCAGCGCAGGTACGCACTCAACGTAAACAAACAGCTCAATGGGAATAAAACGGAGTTTGAGTCACGTGACTGAGCTGAACAAACATGGCCGCTAAGTTTCAGTCGCTTCGGCTGTTTTTGTAGCTAAACAAACACAGTCGGCACCTGGTAGCAAACGTTGTTCACAGATATTTACTTCAGGGACACACGAGCAAGAGATGTGGAACAAAAACAAATAATTAAAAGCTCGTAAAGTTTATTTTATGTCGTTAAATTTAAATCAGTTTAAAGCTGAAATGCTCGTTAAGAACTTTAGCTCCTGTCAGAAGCAATATTTACACACGCATCGCCTCGTGGCTAAAGGTGTGGGCTCGTGTGCTGCAGGTTGACACGTCGGCCGCCAACAGCACCTCGGAGGGTCTGATGTGGCTCCGGCTGGTCCAGTCGGCCCGGGACAAGGAGGAGCAGAACCTGGAGGCCTACGTGAAGAACGGCCAGCTCTTCTACCGCTCGCTGCGCCGCATCGAGAAGGACGAGGAGCTGCTCGTCTGGTACGGCAAGGACCTCACGGACCTGCTGCTGCTCAGCGCCGGACGAGCCCCCGCCAGGAGCAAAGGTGCGGCCCCACCCACGGTTCTGGCACCAGGACTCTTTCATCCACCTTTCAGCATCAAACCTTACAAATCCAGCAGCTGTTGCTCTGCCTGCTCCAGATGTTTCTCCAGCAGCTGTGTAATTGTCCACTCGTCTCTCCCCCCAGGTTCGTCCCATCACTCGTGTCCGGACTGCAGCCAGCGGTTCCAGTTCGAGTTCCCGTTCGTGGCCCACCTGCGGTTCCGCTGCACCAAACGGCTGCAGGGTCTCGCTGACATGGACAAGGAGCCGAAGGAGAGCGGCATCGAACGGTCGAACGCGGCTCCCACCAGGACCAGCCCGAAGCTGAGCCGCTCCGAAGGCTTCGGCGCGTCGCACGACACCAACAAACCCTCCACGGACTTCCACAACCTGGCCCGGGACCTGGAGAACAACCGGACCAGCCCGCCGAGCGACAAGGAGGCCGAGATCTGCAGCGAGAGCTCGGGGAAGAGGAAGTTCTCTGAGGTCGAGGACAGGGAGTGCAGAGGACTCACGGTGTCCAAGTCTAAAGACGAGCTGGCGTCTTCTGCGCAGAACTACCGGGGGGCGTACGGCCTCGAGGAGAACCGCGGGTCCTTCTCGCCGCCGGGCTCCACGGAGCTCGGCGAGGCCAAGCGCAGCGCCTTCACCGAGGTCAAGAAGACGCCGCAGAGCCTCAAACACCACAGCGGCAGCAAAAACCTGCAGAGCGCCAACGCCGAGAACAAAGACCGGCCCGGCAGCAGCCCCCCAGAGAAGCACCTGAACATCCGGCAGGTGCTCTCGGAGACGCAGCCGCCCCAATCCTCGCCCATGGGCAGCGCCTTCACCTCCGTCAGCCAGCAGGGCGGCGCCGAGCGGAAGAGCGCCTTCAGCCAGCCGTCTCGCACCTTCTCCCAGATCTCCCCGCTGGTGATGCCCCCCAAGCTGCTGGACTGCCACCCGGCGGTGGGCGACACCATCTCCTCCAGCAGACTCTATCAGGCCGACCACCTAGCCGCCAAGCTGCAGGGGGCGGAGCTCGGCGCCAACTGCCCCGTGCCCGGAGGCATTGGCAAGCAGAACCCTTTCGTGTACGCCACCACCTTCTGGCCCAAGAACTCGGGCGCCATCCAGCTCCAGATGCCGTCGGCGCTCACGCTGCTGCCCCCCTCCTTCACCTCGCTCTGCCTGCCGGCCCAGAACTGGTGCGCCAAGTGCAACGCCTCCTTCCGCATGACCTCGGACCTGGTGTACCACATGAGGTCCCACCACAAAAAGGAGTACGCCATGGAGCCGCTGGTGAAGCGGCGGCGCGAGGAGAAGCTCAAGTGCCCCATTTGCAACGAGTCCTTCCGGGAGCGGCACCACCTGTCGCGTCACATGACCTCCCACAACTGACTCGTACGAGCGGGACTTTGACACGCGACCCCCCCTGGATTTAAAGGTACTCGTTGCAAAGTCATGGAAGCTGGACCCCAACAGCAACGAATCAAAGTGATCCTCATCGTGTTTTACTGTTTGGCCTTCCTCAATTTAAAAACGTTACAATCTTTACGGACGCAAAGCTCCGCCTTTACGGCATTCCGGTATTTATCAGTTTTCAACGACTTCTTTGTTCGTCTGATTCCGCCGTATGTGTCGTGCCGGCCGGACGCAGGGCATCGCCTTCTTCCACGGGCTTTAGATTCAGCTTGTTTACATCGAGTGCAGACCCTCATTTCAGCGCTGCACATCTGGAAAACTACTGGAGTAAAACACTTTCAACCTTTAATGCAGTTCAGGATAACCTTTTTTTTTTTTTTTACGTGTGGTTCCGTACTTTACCACGAGTACCTTTAGGTTCTGCTGGGAGTCTAAAAACACTAAAAACACTCACCTTGCACTTGTTTCCACTTTGGGACACGTTCTCGAACTCCATTTTGGTCCGTTTGCTTTTTTCTCTTCTGTACAAAATGTCCTGTTCTGTGTGAGCAAATGCATTGTGACCTAAAAAGACTAATCTATTTAAGAAGCACTTAAGAATTTGAGACTAAGGGAAAATTTAAATATGTGTAAATGTACAGTAAGTTGTATTTTATATCCTGCTACTTCAAATATAGACGGACTCGCGCGTCCTGATCCACAGCAGCTGGTTTCGTCACGTCTTCGGTGAAAATGGAAACAAATTGGGGATTTTATGTGAGACTATATTTCAGAGTGCATGTAATATTAAATGCTATGATTTAAGATGCAGTCTATACGTTCCACTGTAAATACTTTGGTTTATTTGAAATACAAAGTGTAATATTTTGTGTCAGTGGGGAATAGTTTCAGTGTTTCTTCCTTTTTGCGGAAATTTGATAGTTTATCTAATCATGTTGAATGCATTGACAATAAAATAGCTTTATTTTCAATTATGGCTTTTTTGTTTTTTATATATATATATATATATTTATTTATTTACATTACACACATACATTATACATATATATATATA